TCTTTTTTACCTCTTTGTTTTATTTCCAGTTTGGGACAGAGATAGCAGCTGAGTCTTCCTGTTCAGGGAAATCCACCAGAGATCACCTCCAACTAAGAATCTGTGATGAGTGAACTCTGAACTTTTCCAGGGACAGGTCCAAGAGGTTGTGACTAATAATGAGGCCACATCCAGCCACACTGCAACATTAGCAAAGCTCGACCTCTTTATTCCTGCTACTGTTGTTAGTGAGTGATGTTCTCCACCGCTGGAGATCATGTCACTGCAACTAGATCTGTGCTTTTGGGAGAAAATGTGGACAAATTGGTCTTTTTGGCCAAAAACTTCAAACTTCAGTTAGCTTGTAAACAGTTTGTTGCTGCTTATTGTTGTGGTTCTGACTGTTATTGTATTTATTAAGATTTTTATTAATGTTAGTGTAGTTTATTTATTGTAAAGAGTGCCTTTTGTTTAAAATATCATCCAAATGGGTACTTTTATTTATTTTTATACAAAAGTATTGTTTACTTGTCATATTTTCAAAATAAACGTTTTGTAAGTCTTTATTTTGGCCTTTTTTTGTACCGAAAATGAACCGAACCGAGTCCTCCTTGGAAATGAAGCGAAATGAAATGTGATTTTTAACGTACCGTTACACTCCCAATTTTTAGGGTTGTGTTCAGTAGTTTTAAAATGTAAACACATTTTTGAATGCACAGTTGAGACTTTAGATTACAGTTGTGGCTCTGCTGGTGCATACTTGTGATAGTTCTGTGATGGTCTCTGGATCTACAGTGGACATCTCCACGTAGCATTTGCCTGGTCTGATTCCCTGCAGAACTCCACTGGGTCCCATCACCAGCTGCAAAGGAACAAATAGGAGTGTCAGTAAAGTGATGACTTCTCTCAGTGCTGATGATGGAAATGGTACTCACATCTCTGGCTGCCTTGGGGTCCGAGACACATGAGAAAGTAATGTCACACATGGATGCGACTTCTGCTGGGGTCCTGCCTAATCTGGCCCCTTCCTGGATGAACAGGTCGCACTGAAACACAGCAGATAGGAGTTATATTTATGTTCCCTGGCACAAAGAATAAAAGGCCTGGGGGTCAAAGGTCACTGATCAAATTCATAAAAATAACAAACATGAACAAATCAAAGACGTTTAAAAGAAGTAAAAAACTGATCTTTATTCTTAATGCCCTAAAACGGTTGGAAATCTGAAGTGTGGACGTGCTTCATCTAGACCAGGGGTGTCCAAAGGGTGGCCCCGGGTCCATGTATGGTCATCCGAGTGATTTTATGAATATATACACACGTATGTATATACACGTATATACACACACGTATGTATATACA